ATTAGCTTCTGGTAGTAGCGATGAGTCTATCCTTCTATGGGATGTCAAAACAGGATAATTAAAAGCCAAATTAGATAGCCAAAGTAATGGTGTTAGGTCAGTCTGTTTCTCTTCTGATGGAAATAAATTAGCATCTGCTAGTTATGATAACTCCATCCGTCTATGGGATGCTAAAACAAGAAAGAAAAAGGCCAAATTAGAAGGTCATACTAGTACTACAAAAAAGTACGGCTTGACTTTTTTTTTCTCAATTATTTTTTTATCAACCAGAATTTTCCCTCTATTAGAAGGGTCATATTAGATTTTAGAAATTATTATAAAATATCCTTAAAAAATTATACTTATATAAAAAAATGAGTCAAAATAAATATGGACATATCATACATCAATCAATAGAGGGTACAATTCTAAGCATATTGGTTAACACCATAAGTTTATATCACTTTTAATTTCAACATAAATGTGGATGCAATTTTTACAAAAAGTACATCTTCACTTTTTCCCTTTGATATTTTTAAAGGGGAGTATTACTTTTTAGTTTTCTCAATTTATTTTTTATCACCAGAATTTTCCCCAAAGACATAGCAACCTCCATTTGAAGGGTCATAAAAAAATGAGTCATAATAAATATGGGCATATCATATATCATTCAGCAGCCCATGAGACTACAATTTCCCTCAAGAGGTAGCAACTTGTTTATGAGGGGTCATACCAAATGTGGAAGTAAAAATGGGCCCTTGAAAAAGTATCCTTTTGCTTTTTCTAAACAATTAATTTTTGGACCACAATTATTTAGTTTTACTGGGAACACATTTATGATGGATCATACAAACTTTTACTCATTAATTTAAAATCTTAAATTCTGGATCTAATTAAAGTTTCAATTCTCTCTGAAAAACAAGAAGAATAACAAATTTATTTATGGCAACTCTTATGTGAAAACATTATCCATTCTCTAAATAGCTGATGAAAAATTTAAATTATTTGTTCTCTAAATAAAAGATTAACAAGAAAAATATATATTAATAATTCAATTTTCATATAAAATAATTATATTCTATAGTATTAAAAAATCAAGTAATGCAGATATTGAAATGAATTCTCAATAGCATAATTAACATCTACTTCAATCAATTCCAAATCTACACAAAGTCCTAACTTCTATTTTACAGAAATGCACAAGATACTTTTATCGATTTTGCAGTATATAA